ACCAAACGTTTTGTATAAGCTTTAAGAACTCACTGTGTATATACTTAAAACATGGTATAAATTGTGCGATGGTCAGGGTGTCTTTGTAGGAAGAGGTAGCGGCCACAGTGGTGGCCGCAGATGTGCATACTGTTACCCGCTTTCAATACCGAGCTCTTAATGTTCTTCCATAGTGTCTTACATAATTACTTAATTGACGGTCATTAGCCACAGAACTGTCTTTCAGGCCGAAGTTGAAAAGTCATGGGTCAAAGTAGGAAGTAGGTAAAGCTCAAGAAATGGCTTTTCATATCAGCCTTATGGTGGCTGTTGGAATAAAACTTCAGCTGAGCTTATGTATTATTTTAATAGTAGCTGTCATGGTTTTTCATTGCATTCCTCCACAGATAGCGGTGGCGCACACTTTGAGATATATAAGACGTTTGTGCATATGTTGTGTTAGAAAATGTAACAGTTTTTTTTGTTTTGATCTAAGAACGTGGCGCCATCTATGAGTTTAGTTAATGTAAACTTACGTCAAAGTTAATAAAGTCTCAATAACAGCAATAATGGAAGTGGAGGGGCTTCTGAACCACCATTAACTTACTCCTTGTTTCAACCCATCATCCTCCAAACTTTGGTTAAGATTGGCCCAGTGACCTAAGAGTAGTTAGATAACGATTGTTTGATTTGTAATTAAGCACAAAGCTACACAATGGGCTATCTGTGCTCTACCTACCACGGGTATCGAAACCCGGATTCTAGCGTTGTAAGTCCGCAGACATACCGCTGTGCCACTGGGGGCGTTAGATAACGAATAAACAAAGAAAGAGACACAGAATTTTATGCTTTATATAAACAGACTATAAAAGGCGGTCCAGCTTGTGTCAGCTGTAGTACAGAAGTTTCGAATAGTTCTTTTCAATAGTAACCCACGTAATAATCCTCAGAATAAATAATAGATGTGAGAAAGTACGACAGGTGTTGGTGGATTTGCACAGGTGTTAATCATAGGTTTCTTTCTTGTGGCTGAGCTTATAATTCTCCATTTAAACCACTGTATACTAATTGTGTTGGGAAAATTCGGAGTCGTTGATTTGTAAGCAAATCTGAACTTTCGTATGCCTCTATAGTGCCATAATATATTAAATGCCACAACTTTAACTTTTCTTTATATTTTTGTAATGGATAAAATGTCTCAAAAATCGTTGTACATCAGAAGTATCATACTTTATTTTCTCGTTTTCGCTCTAATATAAAAACAATTGAAATGCTTTATTTAGTGAAGCGTCTCGTGCTTTCATCAATATGACTTATTTCTTTGAGGTTGTGCCTATCAGCTTCCTTATGTTCTTTACAACTTAACTAATTCATTTAAGTAAACATTTTTATTTTTTCTTATTAGCATCTGACATTCACGATGTCTTTATGAGAATTTATTAGTGACATGAAGTCTTTATCTCACACCAAAGTTCTAATTAAACAATATGTTTGTATAGGGTTTAATGTCTCTTATAATATGAATGCATTATCATCATAAGTCAAAATGTTTAGTTTTATCATCCGGTAATCATGATGTCTCGTGGTGCATAATAATACATAATTCTGGTTTGCAAACGAGACCCAAAACTCGAGCGCTTACGAATAGTTCACTATTCTTCTTCATTATTCTGTCATCCTCATCTATACTAGTGCCTAATTTCTTCAACATTTTATCATTCTTGTGATTCTTATGATAAGCTCTAAGGTACTGAAACCGGAAATAATATTCTGACATTTAATTTAAATGTTCTCCATTTTGTAATTATTTTCCTATGATCTTTTTTTTTTATAGATTGGAGCGTCATGGTTACTGATGAGGAACTTAGTGCGAACTCAAATTCGTCCAGTACCTCACCTGTTTCTTTGCCTTTAGCGAATTCCATTTCTTCTCAGCCTTCAGGATATAAACAGAAGTAAGTGATTCGAAAGCCACAGCCATAAAGCAATAAGAAAAGAAATGGTATTTACTTAAATGTGATGATAGTGGCATAATGCCCTATACGGGCAGTCTATCCGTCTTTTTTACTTTTATAGGCATGTATAAGTTAAGTCAACATATATATATATATACAGTATATGTGTATATATATAGTTATTCATAAATACAGCGTATACCGTAAAGTTCAGATGAAAAACACGTCTTTGTTGTTACATTCCACGTGAACAGAACTATTTTATAATCGTTATTCTCAATAGCTTTTGTTCAATTAAGATGTACTTAGTTGGAGGATTCATTAAACTAATTCTTTTTAATGTTTAAGAACGCCAGAATGTGTACTTACGCTGCACTTTAAAGATTATTCATAGGATATTTTATTTCAGTATTGCCTTATATGCAAATCAAGGGTTGTTTTCAGAGAGAATGGATATTCAACATATAATATTATATTTTATCTGAAATTTAATATCTTAGTTCTTCCAGTATTGAACGTTTTATTGCATCAAAGGAAAAAAAAAGATTACAATTATGAAGTGTCTCAACTCAAAATAAAAATGTGCTAATGATTGTTCATAACACGCGAATGCTTCACTAACCCCTTTAAAAATATTAAAATAAATCTCCTGTAATAATATTATAAGATCTTATGAATTTATTATTTTGGGCTTTGTTTGACTTCAGTATATACGTCAAGGTTTTGCTTTCACTGGAACCTTTAATTGTTATTTTCCGTTAGCTGGATTCTATATATTAATAACTTATTCATTTATGCAACATAAAAATGAATATTTATGATGTCTGGGCATAAATAAGAATTATGAAAGAATTTTCATCTATGTTCTTACGACAGTGTGACACTAGCGATCATAATGGTTTTCCGTTATGATAATGAATTGACAGAAATAAACTTGTCAACAAACTTTCAAATATATATAATATATATTCTACAGTAATATAGAATGTTGTAGCAATCTCGCAGTAAAAGACAAGCGTAACAGCCGTGAAATAAATTTCATAAAACACAGATGTAACTTATATTTAGATATTATAATACAACTATTTTCAGTATCTTGTAAAAGGTTAGTACTTTAGTGCATTAGTTTGGGTTACGATCATTAGTAAGGGCTAAGATACTGCTAATAATTTCCAATTTATTGTTATTATGTTTAAAGAAATAATAGTATTATTGTTTGAAGATAGCTTTTATATACGAAAACATCTGTTAGCTGAGTTCTTGCACAGATCTTAAAATATGACGTTAATAAACGGAAACATCGGCA